AACGCATGTGCCATCCGAAGCCATAGGACACACAGGACTACTGATGGATAATCTGATTGCGTGGGAGAGAGAGAGAGGGAGAGAGAGAGAGAGAGGGAGAGAGAGAGAGAGAGAGGAAACTCATCCATCAGTTGACGCCCTCAGGATATTACGGGTCTCTTTTGGGCGATTAGTGGGATTTGGCGCTGAGTTTAGATCTAATATAAAAAGTGAATTCAAGTGAATTGCAGTCGAAATCGGTGTCAACGATGCAGAAGGAGTTTCGCAGAGTCTCTCTCTCTCTCTCTCTCTCTCACTCACTCACTCACTCACTCACTCACTCACTCCTATCTCTCTGGTCTCGTAAGCACTCAATGGTTCACAGGTTTTAGGGTTTGCACTGTTTCTTAGGGCACGTGTCCTCCCAAACAGAGAAGTGTTTCTATAGTTTTAAATATATGCCAAAACTCCGCAATTGAGTCAATACTACACACGGATTGTTAGTCCCAAAGGATGAGTATTATTGAAAAATTTTTGGTCAAATGTTTTATTTAAAATAGAGCGAGAATTTGGGAATAATATAAATATAATCCGGATTCCCGTCACACATATACCCAATGTTGCACTGACTGTGCCTTTGAGAGGCTGTCGACTGAATGTAAATACTTTTCTCATTACAAAACTATAAGAACTCAAACACCAATCAAACAAACTCTTCAAACAAACAGAGTTTGAGAAAAATAAATTAAAACTTTATTTTCCAGCTTTAAAACGTGTCAAACACTTTTTTTGTACACATTTTTATATTATTTTTTCTTACTTTTTATTGCAAAATATCTTTATGATGGAAAAAAGTGTATATATTTTTGTGTTGAGTCAATATTCGCTTAAAAATAATAAAAAATAATAATTGAAATGTATTTTCACTGAATATAATGCAAACCATGACATCGCAGACATTGTTAATGCTATCAATCAGTCACTGATTGATTAGAGTTTAGGAAAATAGACTTCACTTTAAAATTGAATGAATAGTATTTGCAATTGTATTGAATGTATGAATATAATAGTATTCCAGAGATTGTATTCCAATCCTATAGTACAGTATTGTAGTGTCTGTCCAACCATTTTATAGTATGCAGAGAGAGAGAGAGAGAGAGAGAGAGCATAGTAGGCCATACCATACCAGTGCATCATTCATTGAGCTCGTTAATTGAAATTGATGATAACCTGACTCTCACATCCCTGAGCTCTAAACAGGGATCAAACTATCAGACTATACAACCAGTGCTATAAAACTTTAGTTTCAGTACGTGTTGATGCAGTCTCTCTCTCTCTCTCTCTCTCTCTCTGCATACTATAAAATGGTTGGACAGACACTACAATACTGTACTATAGGATTGGAATACAATCTCTGGAATACTATTATATTCATACATTCAATACAATTGCAAATATTTGATCCCTGTTTAGAGCTCAGGGATGTGAGAGTCAGGTTATCATCAATTTCAATTAACGAGCTCAATGAATGATGCACTGGTATGGTATGGCCTACTATGCTCTCTCTCTCTCTCTCTCTCTCTCTCAAACATTGGATGCCTTTCCAACCTCCAGGCGCGCTGAAAAGGCAATATCTCTTACTCTTTGTGCTGTACATATCGTTTGTGTCGTATTCTGTGTGCTATGTCTCAGAAATATTGGATTTTCCAGCGTATGGTATGGTATGGTATGGCAAACACACATACAGTGCACACACAATATAAGGCCGCCCGCAGTGCCAGTGCCTGAGCCACCAGTGCTTCACTGACTCGCTTATACCATACCATAGAGACAGAGCATCGCAAGGAATTCCAACAATTTCTCTCGTTTCGTAGGCTTTCCATCCTTTTGTGATCCCCTGGTATTGCACTTTGCTTTGCCTACACTACTAGTGCTCTACAGTAATGCCAATATATATGACAGTATATGAGTGTATGTATTGGAGAGGCACTGGTAGGCACTGGGAAGCCAGTCGACAGCAGCACTCAACTGCTTAGACAGAGGCTTACGAGTTGTGCACCAAAAGCATCACAGCATCCATACATCCATACAATCAGCAAATATACAAATATATATAGAAAAGCGTCACATTTTATTCAATACTTACATGTATTCAGAGTTTTTGTGTTTTCAGTCCTCCTCTTACTCTTAAAGCTCTCTCTCTCTCTCTCTCTCTCTCTCTCTCTCTCTCTCGACTGTCGCACTGTATTGTATGTGATGTTTAATCCGAAAACGGATTTCAATACAATTTTCAATGCAAAGCACATACACTAGACTAGCGACTGGTGTGTGCCATCAGTTTCTATCCCCTGTTCTCTCAGTCTATAGCTCAAAATTGTTTTCATCAAAAAGTCTCAAAACTTTTTGCTTAACTTTACATTAAATTTCTTTTGAATTCAGTCAGAAAATCAGTTTATAAATAAAATTAATAATAAAATACAATATCTAAGGGATAGATTGAATTTTAAAATACAAACACTAATACAAAAGGCAAATTTAGATAACAGTTTAAAAATATACTCGATATTTGTATCAAATAATTATGTATCTCTTAAAAATCTATACAAACTAATAAATTATTGAATTTCTTAAGCATTTAAATAAAAAGATTTTATTAGTATTTTATGCAAAATAGCATAAAAAGATTATTTGAATCAAAACAATAAAATAAAAACGCTTTAAGGGCTACCTAATGTAATATCTGGTTAAAATTTATTTACATTTTACTTAATGTTCCGTATATTATCATCTATATAAAAAAGTATACTATTTGTAAAAATAATTGGAGTTGCCTCTTAAAAAATATTTAAAATAAAGTTTGAGTTTTATTTAGATAATAACAACTTTAAAAAACTAAACTAAAAATAACTATTAATTCTTAGTGTTATTTAATTTCAATTTACAACAAATTTATAAACTTAAACTTTATTCCCCACAGTGGTTTACCAGTAATTTGCAAACTACAAAAGCTACCTGTACACTACCTGTAATTATTACAAATTAAAAATAACTGCAATATAAAGCATTCAATAATTATTTTCAACTTACTGTAAAACTAAATTAATTAAAAACGTGTTGAACGCTGCTATCAAATGACAATTTCTTAACTTTGAATTCATTTCCATACGGTTTGACCAGTAAATTAGGTTACGTGTACTACCATAGCAAATCAATATCATATATATGTGCGCTCATTTGCAGGTATCAGTGATCATTTCATTGGAAATCTCATTATAGTAAAAGTTGTTAATTTGATTAGTTTTTCATCACTTTTTTTTCAATAGTGCTTATTAACAAAATTTTAATTTTGTCAAAAATTTATTAATATATTTAATAATCAAAAAAAACATAATTAACAACAAATACATACTTATATAGTAATTACGTTTAAATCGAGAGTTTGTTGACCACTTAATTGCTTTTCATTGTAATTAATTATTTACCGCAAAAACGATACCCAAAAGCGCTAATAACTCATTGCTGTTCACTGCATATAATGAACGATACGATCGATTCATTGAAAGCAAATAGTTTTATATCACTTCCAACTCAGTTGTAGTTAAAACTCTTTTTTTTATATTTTAAAGCTAACATCAAAAGCCGATAAAAAGCACAATTAATCTCATTATCTATTTGTTTTCATTTAACAGACTATACGCCGCGAAGTGCACCGGCTGTCTGGAGCCCATAGCCCCTACGGAACTGGTGATGAGAGCCCTGGACCACATCTACCACATCAACTGTTTCCTATGCGTCGGGTGCGGCCGTCAGCTCCAGAAAGGCGACCAATTCGTCATCCGCGGCGGTCGACTCTTCTGTCGGCCCGACTTCGAGAAGGAGATGGCGCTCTTACACCTGACCAATGGTCACCCGCCCAGTGAGAACAGCCCCATATCGGCCAACAGCGGCCCCACCGGACCCGTCATGAACGGCAATTCGCAGCGACAGGACGGCCGGAGGGGTCCGAAGAGGCCGCGAACTATACTGACCACAGCTCAGCGCCGGGCGTTTAAGGCCTCGTTCGAGATCAGCCAAAAGCCATGTCGTAAGGTATGAGACAAATGCCACACTATTAGGAGTTTTCATTTAATTCATACTTGCGATCGAAACCAATGATTATTATTAATTAAACTGAAAATCTGTGTTCAGGTGAGGGAAACGCTGGCAAAGGAGACGGGACTCAGCGTAAGGATAGTTCAGGTGTGGTTCCAGAACCAGAGGGCAAAGGTATGTGTGTTTTGTGCCATACATATACACATTTAATACACACAAATCGCTTAATTGTTGTTCGCATCTAAATGCCTATGAATTATGATTTTATTTTCAGTTGAAAAAGATTCAGCGAAAACAGCAACAAATACAGGCCTCTCAGGGAGGAGGCGGTGGCGGCGGGAGTGAGTCGGGAGGCATTCAAAGTCAGTCGAGCGATAAATCGAAAGGTGATAACACATCCTATTCTATAGATAACCAAAATGACAGCAATTTGACAGCAGACTCGTCCACCGATTCGCCACAGTTTTCACTGCCGCCCCTCCACTACATGAGCCACAGCCCGGACGGTACGTGTGTTCACACTTGTTATCTAACATACTGTCCCCTCTTTCATAATAAGCAATTAGTGTAACAAATACTAACAGCCCTAACAGCTCACGGCTTGCATTCCCTGTCCATAGGTTCGTATTACTCGCCTCAAGACGACGGCTACGCTAAGAGCGAACTGGCCATGGATTCGGAGACCAGTTTAGGCGGTTTGGAGGACGTGCTGATCAACCAGAGCGTCGGCGCCGGCAGTGCAGTGATCGTGAGCTCCGTCGAGCCGACGCCCATCTCTTTACATCACGACGTGGTGGTCGGCGGCCACCAGTCGGTGCTGTTCGGCGGGCCCTCCATGACTCCCATCGATAAACTATATTCAATGCAGTCCTCGTATTTCAATTCCGGCGAATGCGAGTGTTTAGGCGCTCCTAATTAGCCGCCGCCGCACCGGTAGGTCAGTCATCGGTAGGCTAACCCATACACACCACACACACCGCTAGTTATCAATACAATTGACACATAAAATTCAATTTCCAAAATACGGGGGAACGCATGTTTTTTCAGTCCTATTAATATTTGATTGATATGACAGTATATTATATATATATTTGTAAACTATATGTAAATCTGAAACAAAAAAGTTATCCGAATTTATATTATAATTATTAATTCTGTATTTCAAATGAGTTTTTTAGTTTCTCTGGGAAAACACCGTTTGTCTAAACGGATCATAAATGCCATAAAATTTTAACTATATATATATATATATAATTGAAATGTTATTTAATATTATTATTATGAAACTATTATTATATAAATTAAGGGGAATTTCTATCAGGGACATACGAGGACATACTGTTTGTGCACAAAATGTATTGATTGCATAACAAAAGGGCATTTTGTTTGTCACACCGAAACAAAAACAACAGAAAACCAATCATTTTATTGAATTTTAATTTTTTCTTGTTTTCTTACTTTTCAAAACTCAAACCAAAAACCTGTCATTCGTTATATGAAAACAAAAAAGTTTTTTTTGTTTTGTTTTCTTTTTTAAAGAAAAATGTCTTTTTTTGCTGAGAAAAATAAAATAAAAACAAATTATACATAAAACTCGGGGTAAGAGTGAGAGAGACGTCTGAATCGATAGCACTTTTACGCCATAATATTCTCGTGAATGACAAACATTTTATTGATTAGAGTTTTTGATGTCATTGAGAATGAGTGGAGAAAACTTGTGCTCAAGAGTTAAGATCTCTTATATCTTATGAATATTGGCTTTGCTTTCAATGCGTGCCAACCAATGAATGGGTGAGAGAGAGAGAGAGAGAGAGAGAGAGCATTGAAGTATCATCTCATCTCTAGTGGTAGTATATGTGCCGTTAAGACAATCCATCTCTTTTAATGTCAAAAAGTTTGCGCATCTGTTTTGCAATCACTTATAAAACTTATAAAAGTAATCGCTACTCTGGAATAACAGTAGTGACTATGTTTATACTCTCCGTTAAAAAAACGCGAGTTGAATAAAATTAATAAGCGAGTTTTTACACAGCCTATTCAACAACAGTTGTGTAAAAAGGTTTGCCTTTCCACACGATTCTTAACGTGTTTTGTAACTTATGTTTGCATTCCGTATATATTCCACTAAACTAGCGATACATATGTGAGACAAACCGTATGTTTTGATTGTTTTATTTAATTAAATGAAATACTGGTGTATATTTGAAATCACTAATTCAATACAAATAAGAATTTAATTCATGAAACATAGCGTAAAAACTTATATTTCAACTAGATTAAATATGAAACTGGTCTATTAATGTATTTATAACACCTTTCATAACTAAATCAAATCATATACCATATACTCTGAAAATATTAGAGTAATAGTGATATTATTTTGGGTACTATTAATAAGTTCTTGAAAAACTAAAATAACTTTTAGCATAACATCGAGTATTGTATGGAAAAGAGAGAACTGTTTGGTTAGTGAATAGTATTTGCGAAGAAGTGGTGAAGTTTGGGATCAGTTCAGTGATGGGA